ACCTGCCTTGTCAAGTCCAAACCATGAATCCTTATGTAGACCTTAGGAGGACCCCCCACCCTGTAATAGTGACTATAAGGGATTATATTAGGGTCCTATTATCTTCCTATTATACCGCTATTATAAGGAGGGGGGTCCTCCTAATGTAGACCCGTGATGGATAACACCTCCTCCTTTGAAGGGTCTCAATATTACGATCCCGATTATGATCCCGATTAAGGGGAGGGGGGTTATTAATGAGGGATCTACATTAGCTCCTCAATCCGACGCCCTTGACCTGAGGCCCTCTTGAATCTGAAGCCTTAAAGGCTAAACCCTAAATCTTAAACCTTAGGCCCGAACTCCTAATCCTGAGCCCTGAATGCTGAACCCCACACCCAAAATCCTAAACCTCAAGCCCTAGATTTTTAACCCCAGTCCTACACCTTAAATCCTGAAACCTTAGCTGCGAGCCCCAAATAAGACCCTTATCAAGAATTAGTAACCCTGAAATCCATGCACAACCCCGAGGATCACCGACCTCCGCGCACATCATGGCCGTCTTTGGACCCAGGAGTGTGGCCTGGCGGTTATGATTTTGAGCTCAGGGTTTGGGTTGAGGGCTTACGGCTTGGAGTTTAAGATTTGGAGTTTCGGGTTTAAGGTTTGGAGTTTAGGTTTTGGAGTTTTGGGTTTAGTGTTTGGAGTTTAGGGTTGAGGGCGTGGGGTTTAGGGTGGCGAGCGTAGGGTTTAAGGCTTAGGGTTCAGAATGTACTAGGATGTCAGTGTAGTGTAATGGGGAGCCTAAGTGGTCCAAGATTTCTTCCATCCACCGTTGCATTCAGGGCTTGTAAAGTCAGGTTTAGAAGGGCCAGAGGAGGAAAGCCTCCTGACAGCACGCGCTTTGAAGAAGGTACACTCCAAGTCGAGATATGGCGGTCTCCCAGCTTGAGATCATTGAAGTAGGGGTTATTGCATGTTCAGGTTTAGGTGGGGACTGTACGTCTGCAAACACGTATATATGTTGGTGGTAGAACCTAGTAAGAGATATTCCTTATATAAAATACTTTACCCCAGAAGCAGGATATAATCTTACTCTATAGTGGGTACCATACTATCCCCAAATAAAATACTACTCAAATGGAAGAAAGCAGGTGGAATGTAGGAAGGTTTAGTGACAAGGTTCATGGCAGGCACACGACTGCCAATGGGTAAAACTCCAACGGCGTGCGAGGGTTGTTCAGAGGTGGCTTAAGAACATGTAGGGCTCAGGTGTCGTGATGCGGTTTCAGGATTTGGGCTTGGGTTGTTCTAAATCCGGCTGCCCTGCCCTAGGGACGAAAACGTGTGACAAGGATCGTAAGTTCAGGGTATGTAGCATAAAAGGGGGGTCCATGGAATCCTGTTGGTGCCGTACGTTCGAATGGAAATTTTCAAAGCAATTGCTGAAGGGGGCCCCCAGAAGCTCAGTTCCTTCTCTACATAAAAGATTTTCCGTATATAGTAGTTTCCAAAAATTTAGGGGAACCCCAATATAGACACCAAAATACCTTGTTGGGACACCCAAAAAGGTATCCCGAGTATTGGGAAACCCCATATAGGGAGACCCCAATATAGACCCCGATTTTCTTCCTCCTCATGATGGGGAGCCCCAAAACAGTACCCATAATGTTGGAAAGTCCCATATTCCTAGGGGTCCCGGTGGCTCCTTTGTTCGAGAAACTGTTAACGTGGCTGTTTCCTTCCCTGCATCCTACGACGTACCCCCAAGTCGATGGATGACACACCCGAAACTTACAATAACAGTCAAAAAATAGGTGGCTGATTCTAATGGTGCGGTGTTGGGTGTAGCAGCCGTTTATAATTCAAAAAAATGTGTTGCTGTGTTCAGGAGGTGCCTACTTTGAGGGTCAGCGGGATGTAGCAAGTATACTAACAAACCCTCTTCGAATTATCTCCTTTATGAACTTACTTACTATGTTCCCCTGGCCCTCCATGTAGAGACCTTGAAGTCCAAACCATGGGCTCTTAGTAAATTCGTAAGTAGGTGAACAAGCGGGACCAGCTCGGGTTATCGTATCCCCCCACCCTACGCTCCGAGGAGGGTTGCTAGGTCCTCGTTCAGGCATGATTGGGGGCTTGGGTGTGCTAGGCTTGCCATAACTTTCTAGATCCTATGATGAGGGTCCGAACCCACACATTGCAGAGATTCAAAACACATGTCCCCCAAAAATGCCGAGTAAGTAGGTTGCCTTTTTGGCTATGACCTTCCTTGAAGGAAGTTCATGACCACTGCTTGGAGGGTCAGGGGGACTTAGTAAGTAGGTTAACAGCCCCTATAACCCATATAGTAACCCTAGTTACCCCCTTATTAGCCTACTTACGAAGTCCCCCTGACCCTCCAAGTGGTCCCTTCGTTACCAAGACCTGTCCTCCACATACATACCAAATTTCGCTGCCTCCTGGGCAGTGGCTGCAAGCTGATGAAGTGCCGCTGCCCCCTCCTTTTTTGGGCTTGGGGCCTAGGGTTCAGGACCCTAAACCCTAAACAACCAACCCTCTTGAGGATGTAGGGTCTGAAGTTTAGGAAGCTATGAATTCCTAAGCCCTACACCAATAACACCATGGCCTTCGCGCTTGCATCATCAAGAACCTCTGTTGCCTCCGAGGTCTTGCATTACAGCCCCAAATTATGCGCCAATGGCGCCGCTAGTGGAAGACAAAATGTAATCTAGGTGGGCATATTTTGAAGTGATGGTAGCTAACAGAGACTATAGGATAGTGCCTGGCTACAACTCGTTAGGACGCAGCAAACCGGCGAACTTGCAATAATTCCATTGCGAAGGAAGGGGTTTGGGGGATTTGGGATTTAAGGGTTTCCCTAAACCCTAAACCCTGTTTTTGGTTGTAGGGATTTTGGGGCTGTCATCCCTGTACACCTCCATGTGGGGTGGAACCTCTGCCGTTGCCAAATCTTGAGCCCTGAGCCCTAAGCCCTAAACCGCCTACACCCTATATCTGCCCTAAACCCAATATGAGCCATAATCTAAACTTCTAGTATCCCCCTTAATATGCCCTGTAATACTCCCCTATATAATCCCCTAAAAAACCGCGTTTCAGGAGTTTGGACTATAGCTCATATAACAACTTCAAGAGCTTAGAAAGACTTCGACGTGCTCAGCCATATTCCAGAATCCTCTACATAGAGTCCCGTCCGTAGGTGATCCCCAAAGTTGTGGAAATCCTAAGTCCCAAGCCGTACCTTTGCCCAGATAAACCCCAAATAACCCCTATGTAACCTCTATATAACCCCTATAGTTTCCTTTTCTTTTATCCATTATCCCCATATAATCCCCATATAGTCCCTACCTGCAAGAGCTTCGGCATCTTTACAGGAAAGGTGGCAATCTCTGGGCGGCTTGGGGTTTAGGGTTTACGGCCTATACATTTCAGCATAGGGCCCTTTGTCTCTACCCTACACTGCCCCAATCGCTCAACCCGAAGCCCTACCCCAAATCCTAAACCCGGCCCGAATAGAAGGACCAAATTGGGGACCCCAAACAGGGAACCTCAGGAGTAAGTGGAATATCTAAGGAGTCTACGGACCCTGTCATACCTACTCCTACTATATTCTTGGGGTTCCTGTTATGGGGTCCCCACTTTAATCCTTTCAAAATACCTAAACCCCCACCGGCGAGGCCTCCTTCAATCCACTTCTTAAGCTCAAAATGGGTATTGGTTTAAAGCCCGTATAATATGGGTCTCTCATTGTCATAGGGGTCCAACCCTAAACCCTAAAACCTAAACCCTAAACCATGAACTTATATTATAGAGCGTAGCCTAAGCCCTAAAACCTAACCCCTAAACTCATATTATGTTATATGGGTAGAACCCTACACCCTAAAACTTTAGATTCTTGGACCTCCTCTGCTTTTCTTCAAGCCCGGCCGCCACTTGAAGGCCAGGGTAACGATAGCCCATGTATGATTGTAGGTCTAGCTCAGTTGCAAGTCCCCTTGAAGCCCCCAAGTCTGGTTCTAGTTGGGTTAGAAGTGATTAGTGATTACAAGTATGCTCAGATTAACTACAACCGGCCATCTTATACTAGTTGCACAACTCGACCTTAAGCCAACTTGTGACCACTTCCTATCTCTCAAGGGTTTCAGACTTGTACCCCAAGGGTTGTACCCCTGGGTTTCGGGATCCTTTTAAGGGACCCTCGGAGACTAGATAAAGGCTATATTAAGGCCACGTTGGGAAAACCCTTGTAGGGATACGACCTTAGGGGTACAGCCTCGGAACCCTTGAATCTCAACCACCCTAAACCCTAAACCCTTCTGAACCCTATGTACCTTGGGCCTCTAGCAGAAGCTTGACTCTGAAAACTAGATCCCAAGGTAAGCCCATGCTACTTGAAGGGTCAGGGAATACATTGCGGTGATATGAGTGGGCGTCAAAATTACTTGTCTGGCCTTTGGTGGTTTTTGAATTAGGGCGTCCCCTATCGATTTCCAGCGTTTCGGCTCTTCCTTGGATATTCACACAACCCTATAAACGTGATACATAAAAGCTGGAACTAAGATTGTAGGATAAAGACAATTACAAACACAAAGTTGTACAGATTTGAGGGCTGTATAGGCCTGTGGAATATCCAAAATCTAGTACAACTCGAAGCGCAGCAAGGAGGCTGAGGTGTTGTGCTTCATGAGGTTTGGTACAAGCTTTAGGTCTTGCTGGAGGCCAAAATCCAATACGGCTACGCTACTGGATCTTATGTTTGCTTAGCATCTTGAAATAAAGTATGCTGGACTTGGAGGACTGGAAAACCTTCTGCACAAGGAGGCGTCCCCTATCGATTTACAGCGTTTGCAGCTTTGCTGGGTCTTTCTGGGGATGGAGGAAATCTTGCAGAACCTAGGGTCCCAATATACTGTAAGTGGGTCGTAAGGTATAAGATATACAGGGCAGCGCAAGGTTTCCTCCATCCACATGAGTTTACGCTGACAAAGGGAGGTCCCATTTCACTCGCGGCCACTGCTGCTGCCTGAGTTTGAGCTCGAGTCAGAGCTGGAAGACGAACTGTCCTCTGCTTTGCGCAGGGCCCTACGCTCCTTTTGCCTGAGGCTCTGCCTCTGGCGCTTCTCGATCAAGCACCTCATGGGTCTGTCACCATAAGGAACGTTTGCGCCATCTGGAATGACAGCAGTTCCCACACGCTGGCGCCTCGTGAGAGCCGTTTCGTCGTGCAAGCCAAGAGGAGTGATGTTCGTGTCCCAACGCCCCCGGCCAGTCTCATGCCAAAAGCCACGCCTGTACTGTGGCTCCGTATCTTGAGACGGGCCTACTTCCAACAGTCCTGTGAGGTCCACGCAGGCAACGCGATTGCTGAAGAGGTGATTGTGCACCTTGACCTTGAAGCGGCTGGCTCGGCTTTGTAGCGGAGTGCTGCTGACACAGTATGTGCGTGTTATGTGAAAGTCCTTGGCCGTGAGTTTCTTCCGCAACTCCAGGGATGGCTTCTGCGACGCAATGTCCTTGATGACAACAATGAATGGAGCAGTGGGATCTCGACTCCGTTCTTCATCATTTCTGCGCTGCAAGAAATCACAAAAGTCGTCAATCTCCACCAGGTCATGCTGCATTCTCGCTGCATCTTTGATGTAGCGCTCCACGATGGCGAACAACCTGCAGGGGTGAAGCTTGGGTACGTCAGGCTTGAAGTAGGCAGCCACAATCAGACACAAACATAGAAAAACATTGGGCTGAGGGTTAATTTAGCACGGGCAGCCTGTCAGCTTCTGACTTCATGTGCTTCTCGACTCCCCAGTTCACCACCACCCTGCACCCGTGCTTGACCGGCATCTCCAAACAATAATGATGCAGCGCTTCATAGGCACGGAAGTGCGGCCCCGCGTCAGAAACCAAGTTGAGCTCCTGCAAGGTTTGGCTACCACGGCGCTGTTGCAGAGCCATCTCTATGCATTGGGACGCCCGCGCACACGTGTGATCCAATATGTCGCTTACGATCAACACGCGGGTCCAGAGAACACTGTCGTCCTCATCAGAGCTGCGCTCGGCCACCACGCTCCCGAAGATGGAGATCTCCCTCCGAGCGCCAGCATAGAACTCCTCCCCGGTCTTCACGGCACGCAGAGGGAGGGTCACCTGCTCCTTAAAGTCACTCAAGATGGTGACCGTTCCTGCAGCAGGGTGCTCCAGGAGGCGAGCCAGAATGGGCTTCTGAAACTCGTTGGCTGCGCGATGAAACAGATATGCATCGAGCAGCTTAGACATGTCCCGCAGCTTCACGCCGGCGTCAGCTTCTTTCAGGTGCAAGTCGACGCGCCGCCGCTGTGGGAAGCCACTGCCCCGGGCTCTCAGACAAGCCAGGCCGCAAGGGAAGCTGTCAGGCTGCGTGTGGTGTCTGCATGGTTGGTTGCTGGAGTGCTGGTCCACGTAGTGCTTCAGCAAACGCAGACGTCGGCCAGGGCATTCCACCAGATTGTTAGCGGCCTCGTATGCGTCCCAGGCATCCCAATACCCAGCCATCTCCTCGGTTAATGTCTGGCGCACTGTCTGTACCAGTTCATGCACTTGAGGCATCACCTTTGTCTCAAGGTCATGGCAGTAAATGCAATAGTCGTTGACGCTGACTGCGGGCTTGTGTTGCCCACAAAACCTCTTAGAGATGCGGCGCATGGTGCTCAAACTCAAGTTGGCCTGCAGCTCGGCATCCTCGTGCCAGATGCTGGTCTTGTCCGCGGTCAGAGTCTGCACCTTCTTAACCAACCCCCTTTGCTAGCCCTGGCTACGTTCAGCTACACATACGTCCCTTGCCCCAAAAATGCTAAATGTCAAAGCAAGCAGCGAGCATCCACTGCTCTGTTTCGCGGTTCCACGTCAAGCGGCTGCTTGGCTGCGACTTTTCTTTCAGAGCGCGCTCCACCAAGGCAACCAGAGTCTTGTCGGTCACTTTGGAAGGTCGTCCGCGAGGAGCTGGCTCATTAGGCTCGTGCTTCCCTGCCTGTGACCAACGCTGGCGCCCCATGAAATAGCCGAGTTTGGCTGCCTCCTTCAGGGTCTATTTGTTAGGTTACTTCAAGTCTACGTTGGGGTAACTTGACCCTCTGGGCCCCTAGACCTAAATAAACATGGGGCTTTTAACTACATGAGTCCCCACCTCCTGCTTGGGGATGTGCTCGCGCACAAGTCTGTCCAAGTGGTCACGAACAGCTTTGACGCCTGTTGATGGGTTGGGCGCTGCGAAGCCAGGACTGTTGTAGGCTGCGTCAAGGAAGGCTGCGAGCTTGCCATGCTCCGTAGGAGCCGCCGCCGAGCTAAGCTCGGCACCACACCTGTCCCAGACCTCCTGTAGCGCACCAGGCATCGTTGCTTCCAGCTTTTGGAGACACGTCACGACGGCGCGCGCCATCTCGGACTTGTCACCAAATTCTTTGAGCTGCTTGGACACCCCCGCCTGCAAACTCTTCCGCTTCCACTTCGACAGTTGCTTGGCTTGCTTCGTCGCAGTCCTCTTGACAACTTTTGCTTTAGGCTGCGCTTCTGCTTTGGCTGCAGCTGAACTTGCGGCCGCCCGTTTCACGTAAGAGTCTTGCTCGCTCCTGGACAAAGATGCCCACTTTTCCTTCCAAGCCCACTTTTCTAGCCAGGCTTTTTGCTCCAGTTAGCCTCGCGGCCCCGGGGCAGCTTTGCGCTGCCAGGCACGGCGTTCCTCGCTGCTTCATGTAGTTCAGCTGCTCGAGTCTCGTCAGCCAGTAGCTCCTTCAGCAACAAGCGCACAGCCGCTTGTTTCTGTGCAGTCTTGCCCATGGCAGAGAGCCTACCAGCACAAGTACAACTAGAAGTAAAGCATTTGGCTACCTGGGACCTCTGGCTTCTCGGAGGCTGTTTCGGACAACTTGCCCTATCGACCGGTTATCGTTCTAGTTATCGTTCTGGACCAGCATCAAGTCCTGGATTTTTCAGGCCACCGACTTCAAAACTTACAGCTGTACTTCTGCTTCTCAAGAAGCACTACCGCAAAACCTCCTAGTCAAGTTGAACACCCTCGCACTATGGACCTGTGAGCCTTGCAAGCCCTCGGCACACAAGTTGAACACCCTCGTCCTATGGACCTGTAAGCCTTGCAAGCCCTCAGCATACAAGTTGAACACCCTAATCCTATGGACCTGTCAGCCTTGCAAGCTCTCAGCTGACAAGTTGAACACACTAATCCTATGGACCTGTCAGCCTTGCAAGCCCTCAGCACACAAGTTGAACACCCTAATCCTATGGACCCGTGAGCCTTGCAAGCCCTCAGCACACAAGTTGAACACACTAATCCTATGGACCTGTCAGCCTTGCAAGCCCTCAGCACACAAGTTGAACACCCTAATCCTATGGACCTGTCAGCCTTGCAAGCCCTCAGCACACAAGTTGAACACCCTAATCCCATGGCCTGCAAGCCTTGCAACTCATTACGCAGCTGGCTTGTGGGCACTGTTTCCCTCACAGCGGAACTCTAACCTCAACGCGTCGCCCCCTGCGCCTGGGAGCTCCTAGCTGTGACTCATGACATGGACTGGCACAGTCCTGGGTAAGCTGCGAAGTCACTCATACAGGGGCCTAGGATACAGGCGCGCACTCGTAGCACTTGCACACATGATGGCCATTCTGGCTCCACTCATGATGGATGTGATGTCCTTGCGCCCTGATTGCATGCACTGCTTCAGGGCATGCTTCCAAGATCTGCCAATTTTTCGGCACATCAAGGGTCTTGCAACCCATTATGCATGCAAGACACAAGGAACCCGAAACCACGCTACGTCCACTTGCATTCTGTCTAGTGGCCCATCTAGTTGAGTGCTTTGCCCGCCCGCAAATTTTGCAAGCAGGAACGGGAGTGTGCAAGAACTGTTCTCTCTGTGGATTGCCTTGCGATCCTTTCAGGCCATGACGGGATATCAAATCTGCAAGCTGCGCACGTGCACTCTCGCTCAAGCGCACATGAACTGTCGACTTCTGCTTTAAACGTCGTGTGTGAATAGCATTGTTAGCAGACTTCACAGGCGTCACTTCAAGTTCAAGCTCACGCTGCCGCTTTGCTGGTGTCAAGACCACTGCGCCATCCAACTCCTGGCATATTCAAAACGCCCAAGTTTACTGCATGTGTGCGAACCCTTCCTGCCTGAGCATCTTGTGGCATGGGACCGGGTGCCATGGCATTCGGTTTGTGCTCCTGACACTTGGGTACATGTTCTTATTGAATATGCAGCTGTTCAGTTACAAGTTCCCAATTAAAAATCTCCCCTGCCTCACCATGAGTATCCAAGATAGCTGAAGAGCCATCACCCATCTCCGTGGTCTCCTCTCGGAAGGAGGACAAAGAACGCACTACTATGTAATTGGACCTTGCGCCTTGCAGGTCGTCTCCACCTTCCCAATGATTGTCTCCGTAGCCGGTTTGGCCACATCAACCTGCTCAAAACAAGCCCGTGAAACGCAGCTAGATTAGGGGTTCAGGTTTCAATGCCTTGTCTGCGCAGTCATCGGCGCTGCCTGCTTGCGCAGGCGCAGACGCCTCCAAAAAACATGTTATAGCAACGTGGACTTGCACAGGAATCTTCTCGTGCTGCAGCATGCCTCCCCCGAAGCGGGTGAGACTGGCTTTGACTTCTCTGCTTCCTGCGCCGTTGCTTTGCAGGCATGAATGGGGACAAACGGTAGAAAAGAAGCCCAAAAATCATGCCCGCAGGTCAGAGGCTTTCGCAAGCTTAAAATGCCCCGCAGTACAGGTTCAACCTTTCAAGTACCCAGCAGCCCTATAAAAAGTCTCAAAGCTACCTGGTTCACGAAAGTAGAAAACTTGTGATGGAGACTAAACTACCCTTTTACCTCCATGTTGCAGCTGCAAGCTGCGATTGCGTTTCATGGTAGGAATGGGGGCAGTGAGCGGGCTTGTATGTGTTGGGAATGCGGGGCTTCAATCTCAAATATCCTCCACTCTCGACCTCGCCGCACCCTGCTCGCCAGCTTTTGTCAACGGATCCTGAGCAAGGGAAGGCTCTAGTCTGCAGGTAATAGCAGCTCATGAAAAACTTTTTTTGGATCAGTTTGCTCACGAAGCCCCGCCGGCCTTGGAGGGAGGATCTGGCAAGTTATTCAATTGGGCGAACCGCTTCGCTGCTCGAAGAGAGTACAAGGCTTTGTGATTGCCAAACTTGTACACGGGGTAGAAGGACCCCACTTTGGGGCCAGAGAGGACCAACCGGTTTTCCACGACCCAGACCATGGCAAAGCGTGACTCACAGTCGCGCACACACACACACATGCCCAGGCTTTGGCCAAATGCCTGCAAACACAGATCCACGTGAATGACTTCACTTGTGCATTCCACGAACTTGCATGCTGTATGGCAGCCTCCTCAACCCAAAAAGTCAGACCTGCGAACCCGAACTACATTATGCACCATGAGCACGAAACTAAGCTAAACCCTAAAACCACCCCGGCACGTCGAAGCTATCAACACGTGCTGGGCTAATGTCGCCGCATCAGCTTGGAGTACAAAATTGCCTGATATAAAAATGAACCCTATCGTTTTAGGACGTCCCCTATCGATCTTGGGGGTTTTTGCTCAACAACTACCGCCTAGACCAAGTTATGTAAACGGTAATTTTGACCGCGACTCATATAGGGATACTGGAAAAGAAAATGGAAACTACTGTAGTAGGTTTAGGGTTTAGGGTTCAAGGAGGTTTAGGGTTTAGGGTTCAAGGTTTAAGCAATAAGCCATAAAATAGCCCCAGTCATCGCAAATCTTAACTTGCTTATCAAATATCCTGACCTTGTAAGTAATCCCGAACCCCTCTAGGAATTCAACTTTAGGGGAATCTGATTTCTAAGTCTTTTAGGGGTCTGGGTAAGCCCGAAAGGTTTAGGGTTTCCCTACTTTCGTCCTCCGTTTCGAGAAGCGCCATGATACCACCATCTACCTTGGCGTGCATCAAGGATTTGGGGTGTGGGATTGAAGGTTTAGGGCGTATACGCTTGTGGGTTCAGGGTTGAGGGTCTAAGGACACTTCCGGAAATCGAAGCTTTCTCCAAATGATGCCAATAACGACACTCTTTGCTTGTCGGGCTGCATTGGGACACTGATTGCGAGAAATGTCTAAACCCTAACCCCTAAACCCCAAACTCTATACAACCCTAAATATCCTCTTTACACCCTTTAAGGTACCCCCTAATGTTGGGAAACCTCGCATGAATTCGGAGACTTTTCCTTCGGCAGCCTTCCTGCCTCAGCTGCGGTGCAATCTTGAGGGCCCTCATTCTAAACAGGCGAGCCCTTGAGGAATGTAGAGATCTCTTGTTTATGGGCTTAGGCTTTAGGATCTACGTGGCACTTAGGGACCCTACTAAGGGTTAACCCTTAGGTACCTATAACAGGAATATAAAAGAATCCCAAAGGGTTAAGGGTCTATCCCAGGAGGGCTGTGACCACGAAGTCCCAGGGTGCTTTTCAGCCATGTTCCCCTGGACTAAATCAAGTTCGAGTATCTTCCTTAAGGTAAGAAAAGGATCTTGCGAGCAAAGGGCAATACACGATGGCGGATACTAAAAGTCATATCTGACCCGAAGTACTCTATACCTGGGGATTTATGGAGCTACATCGTATTAAGGCCTTGCAGGATTTGTAATATCAACAGTATGGGAGTGAACTCCTGCCCTTCGCTCACTTCCAGAAACCTCCGATGGAAGAAACTGCCAGCATCTCTCTTGACAACAGGCTCATCATGGCATGGAAAGCAGGTGCAGTTCAAGTTTTGAGCCGCTGCTGGATACTTCCAATACTTGAGGTCTTCGGGAGCTTTTCCAAAACAGGAGCCTCTAAACCATAAACCGGGATAAATGGTAGTTTCCTAAAATTAGGGTACCCAAATATAGAGTCCCAAATACTATAGTCCTTATTATGGGGACCCCCAAAATGGTACCCATAATTTTAGGAAACCCCCAAATAGGGATGATAATCCAGTTAGGGCTTGGGGTTTAGGCGTTCAGGAGAATATGGAGGTTGAGGCTCAGGATTCTCCTTTGTTGCTGTTAGTCAGTTAAGGAATTGAAAGTAAGTTACCGCAGTGGGCATATATATATATATGTATATATGTAGGGTTTAGGCTTTAGGGGCTTAAGTTACCATACTGGGTATATATAATGATTAATAGGTTTCCCCAACATAGCAATTCAATTTTCATTCCTTGACAGCAACCCAGATTATCTAGGGAACGGACGATTTTGATAAACTCCAGAGACAGTGTGCCAGACCTTGACGTGCGTAGACATCCCAGGATTTCAGCAAGCTCGTCACATGCGCCTTTGTACATGCTCCAT